TAATGAAGAACGTAATCCTTAGCTTACATTTGCCAATGTAGTTTCTTCCCTCCAAACACTGGTTGCACAAGGAACAAATAGAAAGTGAAACCACTTATTCAAGCAAAACAGCAACCAGAAATTGAAGACTCTCTCAAGATTAGAATAGTAGACCAGAAAAAAGAACAGCAACAACACAAAAGTGAATGAATGAGCTCATCTGAGAGTGAGAAAATGTCTCAGCCCATCCGAGAGACAAGACTCTTCTCTCCCGGGACGTCTATTCTAACAGTCTCTAGGCAAGCAAGTTTGAAAGCAGCAATATTTTGAGGAGCCAACTTTCACTACGTATCTGTAGCTTCTCTCTCCTTTTATCTCTCCCAAAGAGTTTCTGGAACCACATGTGTCTCTCCCTGAAGAATCTCTGGCTCCAACTCAGTAAATCCCTTACACAGTATGCAGTGAGGTAGTCAGCCTCCTTTCCACTATTTAAGATCCTTGTCCCTCTCACAAACAACATGCAAAAATACTTCAGGCTTGGTTGGAAACCTAGTTACATTTGCAAAAGAAATGTTCCAGGGAAACGATTTGGTAGAAGATTTTCTTGGAGAAGGATTTTGTGAAGTAGACTGGGCAATTTTCCCTGTGATTCACCCTCAAGCGGAAGAATGTGGCTCAAAAATGGTTTCCCCCAGAACCTCCAGTAAGTTTTCATGTTTCACAGAAAGCATTGTCTTAATATGTTTCTTACCCAAAGTATCCTCCTTAACAGGCAGAACCATAGCTTGGAGTTATTGAGAGCAAATGCAGTTGGGAGGAGGGTGTCCTGGCAGCGGCCATGTCCCAGAGGACTAGGGGAATAGTAGTGCAAAAGACAGTCACACCAGGAGAAAGGTCACCTCTGTGGATGGCCACCTCTGCAGCTATTCATGCAAGTGTTTTAGCCACAGCTACTAAAGACTCAAAAAGAAAGTTCTTCTGGGCAGCTGAGTGGTGCAATGGATGGAGCTTTGGAGTCAGGAGGACCTGAGTTCAAATCTGACCTCAGACACTTGACACTTAATAGCTGTGTGACCCAGGCAAGTCACTTAACCAGATTACCTCATCAAAAAGAAAGTTCTTGTCTCAAAAGTCCTTGCCATTGTCAAATAATTCCACCTCAGAAATTGATACTGTTTTATCAATGAAAATGACATTAAAGAAGAGGTATTAACATCTGCTTTGCTGTTGCATCCTAAGGTTATTGTTGAGTCATTTCAATTGTGTCCAACTCTTCATGGTCCCTTTTGGGGTTTTCTTGGCAAGTATTGTGGAGTGATTTGCTATTTCCTTCTCCAGCCGATTTACCGAGGAAGAAACTGAAGCAAACAGGGTTAAGTGACTTGCCCAGGGTCACACAGCTAGGAAGTGTCTGAGGTCAAATTTGAACTCAGGTCTTTCTGACTCCAGCCCTGGTGCACTATCCACTGTGCAACCTAGCTGCCCCATATCCTAAGGACCATGAGACTTTTCCATCAGACTTACAGATGAAATCTTCCATATGTATTTTCTCCCCCATTAGAATGTGAAATCTTTGAAAGTGGTCACTGTTTTACTTTTTGATTTGTATCTCCAGTTCTTAGCACATGCTTTGCACATAACAAGCACTTAATATATGTTTTATTCATTCATTCATTAACTTCATACATATCACTATGTTAGGCTTTAGAGAAAAGGCAAGGCCTAGGAGGAGGGCACAGCAGATCCACAGGACTACCAAGTGAAAGGGAAAGAGGGAAACAGTTGAAGTAGAAAAGAAACATACTACTCCCCACCCAATCCCTTCCCCAAAAGCATGTCCCTATCATGTCAGGTCTCTCAGGCAAAACTGCCCAGGGAAAATCACATCTGTTCAGTTCTGGGTACCACATGTTTAAAAAAGGTATTAACAAACTAGAGTGTATCTAAAGGTGAGTGACCAAGATCATGATGTAACTATGCCACATGTTATCCACTAGGCAGCCTGGCATAGGGGATAGAGAGCTGGCCTTAGTGTTAAGAAAACCTGGCTGAATTCAAGTCCTGTCTCTGACTCACACTGGCTCAATGACCCTAGGAAAATAATTTAACCTCTCAGTTTTTTGGAGGCAGGGCATAGGGAATAGGGACTGCCTTTGGAATCAGGAAGACCAGAATTCAAGTACCAATTTTGATGCATACTAGCTGTGTGACAATGGGTAAATCATTTAATCTCTCAGTGTCCCCAGGCAACTGTAATACTATAAGTTACAAATGAATTGTTGACCTGTATTAATGGAGGGAGTTTCCCAACCAAGAGTTCCTTATATCAATGTAATCACAGGTCCAGTACACACACACACACACACACACACACACACACACCCCTACTAACGCCCTACTTTAATATCTCAGTATGAAGTGAAATTGACCCTGTTCTCAAAGTCTGTGCTGGTAGGCACAAGCTTTTGGCAGTCTTACCAAGCTACAAAGGCTTCGAGTGTGACCCCAGAAATGGAGTATCTTTTGAGCAAGAACCTGTCAAGATAAATGTGTAGAGACTTATCAATGGAAAGCTAGCTAGTAAATGATGAATGTGGGTGGGGGACAAAGGGAGACAGCAACTCATAAAACTACTAAAGTGAAGAAAGGTTATGATCTTCATCAGTGAAGGGATTACCAATGCTGATTTTAAAAAAATATGGCCTCAGACCAAACACTTGACACTTACTAGCTGTGTGACCCTGGGCAAGTCACTTAACCCCAATTGCCTAAAAAAAGGGCTCTTTTTAAGTATTCCCTTATGGTTATCATTATGATCATTCTAAAAAATAGCCTGTAGGGCAGCTAGGTGACACAGTGGATAGAGCACCAGACCCAGAATCAGGAAGACCTGAGTTCAAATGTGACCTCAGACACTTACTAGCTTTATGACCCAGCGCAAGTCACTTAACCCTGTTTGCCTCAGTTTCCTCATCTATAAAATGAACTGGAGAAGAAAATGGTAAACCACTGCAGTATCTTTGCCAAGACAATCCACAATTGGGTTATAGTCAGTCACCACTGAACAACAACAAAGCTAATCTAGAAAGATCCTCCTCTCTCTTTGGCTGTGTTCCTTCTCCCATTCTCCTGAAGACGTGTGGCCAGGAGGAGTCAACATACTTCTCTCACCTAACTGCCACTTCCTATCCTTCTCTCTATCCCCATCATTCTTCAATATCTCATTGTTTGAGGTTCACTCTGTCTGTATCACCCCATCTAAATCCTTACTGCAGTCATCTATGGGCCTCTCAGTCATTCTCCCTCATTTTTAAAGGAATTCAGTACTTGGCTGACAGTCTTCTTCTGCTGCCTTCATACTGGGGGACTTCAATAAAAAATGCTGATATCCTTTCAAACAGCCAGGCCTCACAGTTCATCATCCATTATCTTAACCTTCTTTTTCGCCTCAGCCAACCACAAGGTCCAAATATGAAGTCCCTTCTCAGCTCCCTCTCTCTGAATCTTTGTCCCCAAGACTTAAGACAGGTACCAATCCCCTCTGTGGCCCTGGTTCCTGCTCCAATGGGAGAAGGGCTCTCTCCTTCTTTACCCTACTTAGCTCTATGGGACTGGGGTGGAAGAGGACAATAGGATGAAAGCTTCTTCTAAACAAGTACAAGTGTCTTTTTCCATCTTCCTATCCTCAGCACTGTCAGAATCCCCATGTCAAGATCACTCCTCTCTTTTTACTATTAGGAGACACCCCATTTTCCAGAACTCAGGCCCAGCAAGAAAGCTGTGCCCTTAGCTTGGTGTAACAACAACCTTTGGCACTCACCCTCTGTATGAACTGAGTCACAGCAAAATCCCAGAATTGTTTTGCACCAGCACCAGGTGGTCCCTGAGCTCAGACAAGCAACTGCAGGACTCACGTTCCAGTCATGAAACCCTTCTATGAATCAAACTTGTCTCATTGTTACTATTATCCTTCATTGTCAGGGCTACACCTCACTTAGGAAACATTGCTATATGTATTGAGATTTGCCCTAAAGCGGGTCTCCTACTAGAGGAGATCCCAGCACATGTGTTTAGTTTCCTTCCTCCAATGGAATAAAGAATATAGATTTGAGGTGTGGCTTCATCCCATCTATTTATCTCAGCTATAATAATGAGTCTACATATACCTACAAATAGAAAGCATAGCTTACTTTTTGTGGTGGCCAAGAATTGGAAATTGAGGGTATGCCTATCAACTGGGGAATAGCTGAACAAGTTGTGATATACGATTGTGACAGAATACTATTGTGCTATAAGAAATTATGAACAGAATGCTCTCAGAAAAACCTGGAAAGACTTACATGAACTGATACAAAGTGAAGTGAGCAGAACTAGGAGAACCTTGTAGTAGAATGATCAACTGTGAATGACGGCTCTTCTCAGCCATACAAAGATCCAAGACAATTTGGAAGGACCTATGATGAAAAATACTAACCACCTCCAGAGAAAGAACTGATGGAGGCTGAATGCAGATGGAAACATACTGATGTTTTGGTTTTTTTACTTTATTTTTCTTGTGGGTTTTTTTGTCTGTGTTTTCTTTCACAAAATGACTAATATGGAAATATGTTTTGCATGACTGCACATGTATTGCGTTTATCAAATTGCTTGCTTTCTCAACGACGGAGAAGGGAGGGCAGGAGAGAATTTGGAACTCAAAATTTTAAAAGAGGAAGGTTAAAAAGTAGTTTTTACATGTAATTGGGAAAATAAAATATTAAAATTCAAAAAATAGAACTATTAGTTCCACTCTAAGAAAGAGAGGGAAGGAAAGAAGGAAGAAAAGGAAATACAAAGGAAGAAAGAAGGAAAAAAAGAAAGAAAGAAAGAAAGAAAGAAAGAAAGAAAGAAAGAAAGAAAGAAAGAAAGAAAGAAAGAAAGAAAGAAAAAGAAAAGAAAAGTTTAAAGGTTAAGCAGCCTTCAAAGTTCTGCGGGTCTGGTTCCTGCCTCTCTCCTCCACCCTCTGGTCTGATATAACAAGGTTTTGCGGATGCAAAAGTTTCGTTTCCTCGTTTTGCTCCTCCCCAGGGCAAATGGCTATGGCTGCTCCTTCAGCAGCAGCTACGGCGGACCCAGTACCCTGGGAAATCTGCGAGGCCCGGGAAGTGATAAATACCGCACAGCCTGAGGCGCAGCGAAAGCCCGGGGGCTGGTGTGGGCGCCCAGAAGATGCAGAGAACGGAGCAGTAGCAGCCGCAGCTGAGAAGGAGGACCAGGGGCGCGAGGGGCCCGAGCCGGCGCCCACTTGGCTGTGTTCAGAGCATTGCAACCGCACGGTCGAGCTGTTCTGCAGCCGCTGCAGACGCTGCGTGTGCGCCCTGTGTCCACTGGTGGGTTCGCACCGAGGCCATCCCGTGCGCTTTGTCCACGAGGAAGTGAGCTTCAAGCAGGTAAGCGGAGATGAGAGGGGCCCCGTAGGGGAAGAAAAGGGCAGACAGTGCCCGAGAGCGGCGAGGTCACAGGTCACTCACTGCGACTTCCCCTTTTCTTCTACTGTAAGTCTGGAAATGGAAGGACCCCCTTCCTTTTACCCCACTGTCCCTGCCCTTTTTGGATAGCTCCAAATGGTCCTCCTGCCAAGAATATTTCTGTTGGGTGAGAAGGATCGAAGGTGGTGGGAAACTAGTCATTCTGTATGATGGGAAAATTCTTCTGGCTTTGTTAAATCAGGGTGGGGCAGTGAAATCAATGCTGGTTTTGAAGTCAGGAAACTAGGGTTTGAATGCACACTCTGATACTTACTAGCTGTGTGACCTTGGTCAAGCTACTTAATCCTCTATGAGTCTCTGTTTCCCCTCATCTGTGAAATGGGGATAATCATACTTACACTACCTGCCTCATTGGGAGGGAGGTGCTTTGTAAACCTTCAAACGCTGCATAAGTGTGAGCTTAATTCATTTCACAGGCACTTAAGTGCCTAGTGCATCAGACACAGTGCTACGAAGATATGAAGACAAAAAAACAAATGAAGGGAACAGTACTTGCCCCCAAAGGGCATACATATCACAGTGGGGGCGAAAGGGGAAGAGAAAGAGAGGGATAAGGAAACACAGAATGTACATAATAAATTAAATCAAAAGAAATTTGGGGAGGAGAGTGCTACAACTGGGGAGATCAGAATGAACCCTACCTGGAATGAGCTGGGAGTTGAAGGGAAAGAAATTTGGATTCCAAAAGGCAGAGATGGGGAGAGAAAGCATTCCAAGAAATAAAGGGCACCGTGTACAAAGAAAAACCTGGAGGCAGAGGTAGAGGCAGTTGGGTACAGGAAGCAACTCTTATTATTTCCCAATCTTTGTGAGGTTGCCACGACATACACCAACAAAACCTGGCTGTGCCAGAGTACACCATCAACTTGTCTAAATAGTATTTAAACTGTAGGGCAGTGAAGAGATTTTTGAGAGATTCTACCTTTTTTTGGAGGAGCAAGGAGGGAGTAGTAACATTTCCCCCCCTTCTCCCACCCCCATCCCCAGCCTTTTGCTTGCTACAAAAATAATTTCCTACATCCAGCCTCACTCAGTAAAATGTTATCCAGCCATCCTCCAAAGCTCTGACCAAGTCTTAAAGCCTCTATGAAGCCCTGGGTAATGACTCAGCCCTCACCTCCCCCAATGATTTCTATTGTATTTCTGACTCTCAACTGTGTCACATAGCCCTTGGTTTATATAGGTAAGATCACCAATTTAGAGCTGGAATGCCCCTTAGAGGTCATCCAGTCCAGCATCTTCATTTTACAGATAAGGAAACCAAGGCTAGGGGAAGGGGAATTATTTGCTCAAAGTCACTCCAAATCCACTGACTTCAAATCCATCCCCTTTCTACTGTTGTATCACAATAACAATCTTTGTGATGGAGGCTTTCTTTTCTAGATAGTCACTAACCACTCCTTTAATAATATATTATTAAGAATACATTATGTTGCCTGTACCTAAGAAGTTCTTAATAAATGCTGAATGATTGATTGATTGTCAGGAATTGAAATCAAACTCACTGGCCTAGAGTTTGCAGACTCTTCCCTTGGGGGAGGAGGAGGGAGAGGAGATCAGGACAGAGGTGTCCCTTTTCCAATTCTATTCTATCTCTCCTCTTCTCCACAGACTTTCAGAGATCACAGACCCCGACTCAGCAATTCAGTTGCCTGGGATATAGTTCTTCTATTACTTTATAATTCAGTTCAATTCAACAAATACTTATTAAGTCCATATTGTGCTAGGCACAGAGTTCAGTTGTTCAGTCATTTTTTAGTCATGTCCAGCTCTTCATGACCTCATTTGGGGTTTTCTGGGCAAAGATACTGGAGTGGTTTGCCATTCCTTCTCCAGATCATTTTACAGATGAAGAAACTGAGGCAAACAGATTAAGTGACTTGCCGAAGATCACACAGCTAAGTAAGTGTCTGAGGCCAAATTTGAACTCAGGAAGATGAGTCTTCCTGATTCCAGGCCCTGCACTCTATCCACTGTGCCACCTAGCTGCCCCAGACACAAGATATGTAGAGATAAAAATGAAACAGAATCTGCCTTCAGTGGGCTTTTATTCTACTGTTTCATGTATAGTAATTTTGCCTTCCTAACTAGATTGTGAGTTGCTTGGGGGTAGGGAGTAAATATTATGCCTTATACTTCTGTGTGATCTCCACAGTTCCCAGTGTACACTCTGAAAATATGGGGTTGAGAGTGGCAGAAAGGTTGACAGAGAGGTTTATGGTGAACACTAGCTGGCTACGGCATATTTCTAACAATGACTTACGTGCAAGAAGTAGATGAAGTGGTATTATTGAGGGAATGAAAGACAGAGAGGGAGTAGCAGTACATAGTGAAAGTGAGGGGAAAACAGCTGACAGCAAGAATGTTGTGGTCTGGCAGAAAGAGTCCTGTGTTTGGAGTAAGAGAACATGAATTCAAACCCTACCTCTATCACATACTTCCGTGTGATGTCAGACAACTTACTTAACCCTTCTGCGCCTCACTTTCCTGGTTTGTAAAATGAGGGAATGAGAATAGATGACCTCTAATGTCCCTTCTAGCTTGAAATCTCTGATCTTATGATATTTGTGAAATCTAAAATAACCTGAAGGAAGTCCTCAAGCACAGAGAGGAACAAGGGGAGAACTTGAACAAGAATCACATCATGGGAAAGCCTGGATGGGGTGCAGTCTGCACCAATGGAAGGAATGCCAACATCAATGAGATCCTTTAGATCCATTGCAGTATTGCAGCTTAATTTGCAATATTGAACCTATCCAGCAAGTGTCTCCCCAGATCCTGCCAAAATTACCTGGTAATTTTTGTTGTTGTTGTAATTATATTCGGTATTGTCTGATTCTTTGTGATCCCATTTGGGGGTGCAAGTACTGGAGTGGTTTGCCATTTCCTTCTCCAGCTCATTTTACAGATGAGGAAACTGAGGGCAAACAGAATCAAGTGTCTTGCCCAAGGTCATACAGCTAGTAAATGTCTGAGGCCAGATTTGAACTCAGGAAGATGAGCCTTCCTGACTCCAGGCTGAACTCTATCCACTGCACTATCTACCACCCTACCTGGTAATTACTTTGTGTATATTTTTATATGCTTATATGTATACATGTTATTTCCCTTTGATAGAATATAAGCTCTCTGAAGGCAGGAGCTGTTTCATTTTTGTCTTTGTATTTCCAGTTCCTAGAACAATACTTGGCATATAATATGTGCTTCATAAATGCTTTTCTTATGGATTGGTTGATGTGATTTTGGAATAACAAAATCACTGAGGTGGAAGAGATCTTCTAAAACATCCCCTAAAAAATGCTTAGCCTGCCTCCTCTTTGAAAACCTCCAGTGATGGGAAATTCACTACCACCAAAGGTAGCCCTTTTTACTCTGGAACACTTTTCATTGTTAGGAATTTTTTACACAGAAGATTGCTCCACATTTCATCCCTGAGAACAAAAGGAGCATTGTCTTTATACAGTTTCAAAGAAAAAAATGTTAAGTTGAAGATTCTAAGTTTTAAATCACTACACAATTTCTCAACTTAAGACCATGGCTTAGGGCTGGATGAAACCTTAGAGATCATCTTGTCGAAATCCCTCAATTTACAGACGAAGAAAACTGAGGCTCAAAACAATTAATTGATTTGCCCAAGATCACAAAGGTTGTAGTGGTCAGGGTGAGATGTAAACCCAGCTCCTCTGACTCCAAATCCGCCACTGTCTACTGAACCTTACTGCCTATACTTCTATAGTCACACACAAAGCACCCACATGTAACAGTTGCAATATTGGTTGTCGTGTGTGTGTAAACTTTATTCCTATGGAGTTAATTGTCTAGCACAGTATTTTAATATACAGTAGGCACTTAATAGTTTTTTTTTAATTATAAAACTTTCATTTTGGCAGAACTCAAAGTAGCATTAAATAGTAGAAAGGCTATTAAATTTAAAATCAGGAGAAACAGATTCAAATTTTACCTCTTATGTTTTCAAGGTTTGTGTCAATGAACTAGTCATGTAATCTATCTGAGCTCAATATATATATCTATAAATTGGAGATGACAATACCTATATGTCCTCCAGTACCTCACAGGGTTGTAATGAACATGTTAAGATCATGTATGCAAAGTACCATGTAAATGTTAGCAAGTATTATGATGCAATGCATATCACAGACCTTAAATATTTGTTGAACTAACAAATGTACAGTTCACAAGTTCACCTTTCACTGCTATATAGAAGGGGAAATCTTCCTTCTGTACCTGTCCAAAATTCTTTGCTTACAAATTGCTCCTTTTCAATTAGCAGTTTATAATAATGATGATCCCAGATATCTCAATTCAACTGAGAAATAGAAACAAAATTTCTGGAGGAGAGGAGTAGGAGGTTGGCTATGGAGTGGTGGCAGTGACTTTTCCCTGTATTATACATGGATAGGTAGTGGCCACTGGTATATGTACCAGCAACTGACACTAACTACTGTTCTGTATGTGTGGCAGTTACTCTTTTACAATGGCTTCTATTATCTTTCTGGGCTATAGGATTTCTCCTAAGTCTTAAGTGGGTCTGTGATTTATAGCAATTATGAAGGTGGTTGGGGATTATCCATCATATTGCTCGCCTTTAGATAAGAACAAAAGGCTTCATAGAGAAGATGAAAGTTTAGGACATTGAAGAAGAAGATTGTATATGATAACCTATCAAGAGTCCTAGCAATAGGAAAGTAGGGGTTTGAATGTGTAAGAAAATATAGAATATCGTGCATAAGAGAACTAGATAAAGTGTCCACTTCATTTTGATTTGGCAGAGAAAAAGGAAAGAAAAGTAATCAGGCAGTGAAGATTGGTCTGGAAGCTGCGGGGAGAGGGGACAGAAGCTACAGGAGAGAGACAGGATGTGGTAAAAACAACGGGCTAAGAGAGGGGTGGGGAACCTGTGGTCTTGAGGCCACTTGTGGCCCTCTAGGTCCTCAAGTGCGACCCTGTGACTGAATCCCCTTTGTTCTATGAAGTTTGGATTCAGCCAAAGGGCTGCACTTGAGAACCTAGAGGGCCACACGTGGCCCTCTAGGCAGCAGGTTCCCCACCCCTAGGCTAAGATATTTTGGCAGCATTACTCAAATTAAGAGAACAGTGGGCAGAGAGAAGGGGACTAAAGGCTAGGAAGGATGAAGATATGGGGAAGGATAATGATAGAAAAGGCCAAAGTCATCTGGAAAGGACACACAACCAGAGTCTTCACTAAAACTTTAGGCAGTTGGGCAGAGCGCTGACTTGGAATCAGAAAGACTTTAAATTCAAAGTCTTCCTCAGACTAGCTGTGTGACCCCAGGAAAGTTATTCAGCCTCTCTAGGCTTCAGTCTGCTCATCTGTACAATGAGAGGGTTAAGCTCAATGGTCTGTGAGATTTCTTCTACCTCGGATCCTATGATGGAATGACAGAGATAGTCATAGATTCTGTCACTCAAGAAGAAGCAGCAAGCTTTGGTAAAAGGGCAGAAGAGTTCTGAAGTTTCAGTAGTACTAATGTGGTTTTTCTCAAACATCTTACACAGAAAAACATCCAAAAGTGTGTGAAGCAGCTAGCCCTGAAGAAGAAACAGGAAGCCAGCAACATCAACAAAGTAAATAAGGCTGCTAATGAGCTTGAGGTAAGAGGAAGCACATTTTTTACTGACTGTTGTACAGATGTTTCAAGGCAGCAACCACAGGACTTATCTTAAAGATAATACTCTTCTAGTCTGGGCACAGAAATATGGTTCCGTTTGGGCGTCAGTTTGTTTAAAACATATCTGATGCTAAATGGTTGCCACCAAGGAGAAAAAAACAATATTGTCAAAAATCCAATGTTGTCAACCCTTCCACCCCTGTTCAAATGTATGTTTGCATAGATTCTTATCCCAAGATGAAGCACTCTTTGAAGCTCACCAGATGGAAGTCAGAAAGCATAAGTAAATAACATATGGAAACTTGTATCTACCGTGGTAGAAACTTGTATTACCATGGTGCAGTGATATTTAATGTTCATAATGATAACCTGGTCTACTTACTACAAGACTCTCATGTGCCTTATGAATTCTCAAATATTTAATTATGTCCTGTATTTTGTATATACTTAGGCTTATATATTTTATTGGATCATCATCAAAAGAGAGGCAGCATGGATAGAGACATAGCCCAGGTCCTACCCTAGACATACTGGTGTGTGATATTGGGTAAATCACTTGAACCTCAATGCACTACATGACTCTTTATGAGAATCTAGCAGAGAAGATGCCAACCTGCATTGGTAGAGGGACTTTTCTTACCCAAGAGTTCCCCATACTACATAAATCACAGATGTAATCCCTATTCATACCCTAATCCTTAGAAAATTTTGCAATCTGTAGTATGTCATGTACTGGTATAAGAAGTATTGGCAGAAGGGAGGCAAGGAATTGGGGAGGACATTCCAAGAAATGAGGCAACATAGTAATTCAATTAGGCAACACAGTAATTCAGTTTAGCTACAGTATATGGTAGTGAAGGAGACAAGCAGGAAATAAGACTGGAAAAGTTAATAGAGACTCATTGTGAAAGGTCACATGGTACAGAGCTGGAAAGGACGGAGTCAGGAAAAGCAGGGATCCAGACCCACCTTTTATACTTACTTTTATACTTGCACAACAGGCAAGCTGTATTCTTGTGAGGCTCAAATTAGATGTGTATAAAGTACATTATGAACATTAGAGAATTATACAAATGTTTATTATTGTAAAGAGCTTTTAATGTCTATCTAAGGAATTTGGATTTTGTCTGATAGACAGTAAGAAGCTATTGAAAGGCAGCTAGGTGGTATATAGAGCACTGAGCTTAGAATCAGGAAGACTCATTTTCCTGAGTTCAAATCCAGCCTCAGACTAGGTGGTATATAGAGCACTGAGCTTAGAATCAGGAAGACTCGTGTTCCTGAGTTCAAATCCAGCCTCAGACACTTACTAGCTTCATGACCCTAGGCAAGGACTTAGCCCCATTTGCCTCAGTTTCCTCATCTGTAAAATGAGCTGGAGAAGGACATGGTAAACCACTTTAGTATCTTTGTCAAGAAAACCCAAAAATGGGGTCATGAAGAGTCAGATATGATTGAAACAACTCAACAACAAAAGGAGCTATTGAAGGTTTTTAAGTGAGGAGGTGACATCAGCTGACATTTCTATAGGGATAGATGTGCGTGTGTGTGTGTGTGTGTGTGTGTGTATGTGTGTAGATAGAGACATGGAGACATGGAGATGGGGGGTAGATAATCCTATAGATAGGTAGGTAGATAGATAGGTAGGTAGGTAGCTAGATAGGTAGACAGGGTCTGAACCTATGATTTCGTTGGTATAATGATTCCCGCCTCTTTTTACTAATATAAGATACTCTATCTAGGCCTGAGCTTCCTCATTATAAAATGAGGGAATTAGATTAGATGGTATCTGAGGTTCCTTCTGACTCCAGATCTGTGATCCTTGATCTCCAAAGTTCTTTCCAGCTCTAACAGTTTGTGAGACTGTAAGATAACATATGTCTTGGAAGAGGGAAATGCAATTTTAAGAGTTCACAAACGAAGCCTTTCTCATATATACATCAAAATTAAGAGACTATTACAGGGCAGTTAGGTAAAGCAAGGGATAAGACATCGGCCCTCTCTCCCAGGGGATAGAGTCAGAAGAACCTGAGTTCAGATTTGGCCTCAGACACATAATACTTCCTAGCTGTGTGAACCTGGGCAAGTCACTTAACCCCAATTGCCTTTTTAAAAAAAAGGATAAAAAGAGGCTATTACAGTATAGTTCAAGAGAGAGGTGTTAATGGCCTGGACCAGGCCCTTGGCAGGACATGAGAGAGATGCAAAAGATAGAAAGGGACTTGATGCCTAATTGGTGGGAGGGGAAGAAGAAGAAAATGGAAGAATCAAAGATAACTCATTTCAAACCTAGCAAATTAGAAAGATGCCAATGCAACAAAAATGCTTCAGGGATTTGGTGAGGAGGGGCAAGTTTTTTTTAAAGTTATTGCTATCTTTTCTTTTTATATTACCTAAATTTTCTGTTGTGTCTTTCCCCTTCACCTCTCCCAGAGAGCCATTCCATATAATAAAGACATTTTTTTCAAAAAAAGAAAACAAGAAAAAACAATTAGCAAACTGATCAAGCATCAGAGACAAAGAGAACCACAGCTGACAAATGCAGAAAGTATAGAGGCTACACACGAAAGATTTGGACTCAATTCCCTAATAAGAAAGCCTATGCTTTTCTAAGGTCTCTCTAGGGAATCAAATGGCCTGAAGAAAGGAGAAAAGATGTGAGTCCAGGAGAGGAGGGATGGGAGGGAAGGAGAGAAGAGAAGCATGTAACCTTAGAGATGACAGCTGACAGAGGTGTTATGGAGACTAGAGAAGAGGGAGAGAGAAATTACCAATCAAAGCTTTGTGGACAAAAAGGAGATTCTGAACGACCCTAAGCCCCTGAACAAGGCTTCCTGGAGGAGGAGTTCCGAATCAAAGCTTTGTGGACAAAAAGGAGATTCTGAACAACCCCAAGCCCCTGAACAAGGCTTCCTGGAGGAGGAGTTCCTAGACAATGCAAAATTCTTTTTTTCATAATTTTTATTTTCAGTTCCCAATTCTCTCTTTCCCTCTACCCCCTTCCCTAGCCATCAAGAAGGCAAGAAGTTTGATTCCCATTATACCCACAAAGTCACGAAAAACACATTTTCAAATAGCCATGTTGAAAAAAAAAGCAAGAAAAAGTGAAAAAATATGCTTCGGTCTATACCTCTCTCTCTGGAGGTGGAGAGCATTTTTCATTTTTAGTCCTGTGGAATTATCATGGATTATTGTATTGAACAAAGTAGATGAGAATCTTTCACAGTTGATTATCACAATATTGCTGTTACTGTGTACAATGTTCTCCTAAGACAGCTCACTTCGCTTTGCATCAGCTCATATAAATCTTCCCAGGTTTTTCTGAAGCCATCCCCTTTGTCATTTCTTACAGCACAATAGTGTTCTACCACAATCATATACCACAACTTGTTGGACATCCCCTCATTTCCAATTCTTTGCCACTAAAAAAAGAGCTGCCAAAATGTTTTTGTATATAAGTTCTCTTCCCTTTTCTTTGATCTCTTTGGGATATAGACCTAGTAGTAATATTGCTGAGTCAAAGGGTATGAACAGTTTTATAGCCCTTTGGGCATAGTTCCAAGTTCTTCTTCAGAATGTTTGGATCAGTTCACAACAATGCAAAATTATTGAACCAAGGCTTTTATGTAAAAGAGAAGAAATTCTAGGAAGATGTCAAATTTCTGGACCAAACAGAGGAGCTCTAGAACAAAGAGGAAAGAGCAGTGAGAGACAGACCCATGATATAGAGGAGTAAACCCACCCTTTACTAGTATTGTGAGTTATTAGTATATTGTGCAGATCTAGGAGATAAGGGGTCAGTTCTCTGCCCCTCCCTCCATCCTCAGTGCTTTCCCCTCAACCTTAGAATGTACTATAAGTCTATGGGAATATATAGATGTTTGGAAAAGGAAGTCAAGTTGTTTTGATTATTCATGGATTTATCTGTAAGTACTTTGTGTTTTAGATAGAAGATAGATAGATATAGACATAATTATACATAACTATATGTATAAAACTATGTATATCCAGTTAAATAAAGCTCATCCTTTATATGAATTATTATCACTTGTATGGAAGTTAGGGACTCTTTAACCTTTTCTTTAGAAACCTACACACAAAGCAACCTACACCTACACATATTCTGATGCTTCCTGGGTGAGAGCAAAACCAGAAAAATTCTGATGTTTGTAAAGGAGACCCTAGGTGTGGGGCACAAGCCAAATAGAGTGATTTGTGAAGTACTCCAGGGTTAAATTTAATCCATATAAACCCAGTGCTTGAGAAGTGAAGTATGTATTACAATAAGATCATAGATTAAGAGCCAGTCTTCCTCACCTTTGTCTTGCCACCTTACTCCATTGACTCTGGAGGAGAGAGTGAGACTGGTGACTTTGCACAGCCCTGCCTCATTTAAATCCAGTTCACTTGCAAGTCAAGACATCACCCTCCTGATGTCATTTGTCCTTTTCAAGAGCAAAGGACAAGGGGCGGGCAGGTGGCACAGTGGATAGAGCTCTGGCCTTGGAGTCAGGAGGACCTGAGTTCAAATCTAGCCTCAGACACTTGACACTTACCAGCTGTGTGACCCTGGGCAAGTCACTTAACCCAGTTGCCTCACCAAAAAAAATAAAAAGATGAACAACCACAGATTAAGGGCAGGAAGGAACTTGAGGTCATAACCTTCTAATTTTACAGATGAGGAAACTGAAGTCCAGAAAGAATAGGTAATTTATCCAAGCTTACATAGGTAGAAAATGGCAAAGCTGGGATTCAAATCTAGGTCCTGGGATTCCAAATCCAATGCTTTTTTCCACCACACCACACTACCCTCATTCCAGAGTTCTGGCACTTGCAGGTGTGATTCTGAGCCACTACCTGGGAGAACATGAGGTGTTACAGCCCTAGAGGTGAGTAGAGGTCCCAGTTTTCAAAAAGGAAGTGAAGGTCATTTCCAGAGACTATCGATCAATGACCTTGATGTCAATTCTTAACAAAGTTCTA